ACACGCAACTTCTGTCAAGTACACGTTACTTTCGTTAACACGCCTACCCCAACTTTCCTATATCGACTGTACCATCAAAGAAGGGGTGTAAGTGGCAATATTGTTTGCTGCTTTGATTGGCTTATGAAAGCTCCTGTACCTAACATGAAGGCTAGTTCTTCGTCTTCACATCGTCCTTCCCGACAGATAGTGATCGACTGCACCGGTGGGTCAGTGGTATTAGAAAGCTCCCCTACCACGCGAGTTGCTCGGGTTCTATTACCAGCCGATTGGCGCACTCTGTAGATACTCAAGCTCCTCTATTCTGCGCATGATTCTGCACTAGCTCATAGATCGAGGGTGACTTAAAGGGTTGCGAAGACAGCTAACAAGCTTCAAAAGCGCTCGCTTATGAACATGTTATAGTCATCATTCCAGTTAAGATCAGTGGCACTGAGCTCACACGTGCAACATCGTTCAAGTCGGCAACACCTTGCCGTAGGTCGCCTAAACTCATCGACTGATATTTTGACTTTATCTTAGCATTTTCCAAGCACCTTACTAATGGTTTCTTTTCCATGTTGCCTAATATTCTACAGGGAGTTTTGTTCCACCATTTGATGCGCGCAGTATCGTGCGGGGATCATGTGTGTAGGTCATGCACGACTTTCCCCCAAAAGGGCCATGAAGGATCTAATGAGTGCATTTCCGACGTCCTCGAAGATCTTGAAATATTGATCGTTCGTTGTTACTGTAGGTTCAGAAAGAGGTGGAAATTTGGAGGGGCGAGAGTGCAGAGTAGAGGGGCAGGGAAAGTACAGTCGAGCCGAGAGCGGCTACATTATTCTTCGTCGCCCTTCCAGTGTGTGGCGTAGAAGCAAACCCTGGCTTGTTATCTCTACGCTTCTAGGTGGTGGTTCTTTAGCATTTCCATGTGACCAACGCATACATCAGCCGTATTGTCGTCCTCGGAAAATTTTTAGTACTGTACACAAAGAAGAGTCCACCAGATGAACGCTTCTGTTTCTCCCCATTCGATTCGTTTTCCGAGACGTATGCTGCTTTTCCTTCTCTGTTTACCCATTGGGCATGGCGGCGATCGTGAGATTATAAGACACTCTTCTCACCAGCGACTAAATTGTGGAGCCACGTGTATGCTCGTTCAGTGGTAAGGAAAGACCGTGACCGGAAGCACATTCGCAAGCAGTCACTGCTTTCAGGTACTCGGGAATGTTTGAGATGATTTCATGGAGCGTTTTTTCCTCTATCGACAAAACAAGTCTTCGAATAATCCGGTTAGCTTCATGGTGGTGAAAAAAATTCTGAGTAGGGACAGTCCCCAAAGGTCTGAGGAATTATGACCCAACCTTTTTTAATGAAAGGTAACTCAACGATTCACTACGCCGATTATACAGGTTACGCAGAAGTGGCGTGGAAAGAATGCGTCAGCGACACCGCCTTCAGTGAAAAGGAGGCCACAAAATTAGGTGAACACACAGGGACCGATCTGTCCTAGCGCTCCCGTGGAATGTTCCGGTGCAAGTGGTGACTTGGTTCAGCTTGATAACCAGCTTTGTCCAATCATAATCAAGCTTACTAGTGCTTATGGTTACTACTTCGCCCTGCCGCAAGTTGCCTAAATTCAGTTGGAAACCGCTGGCCTTTTCTCAAGTAGAAAATGGCTTGTAGTGCGGATGCTGAATCTGATACATCACCGACTGTTACTGAAGTGTTGGGGAGAGTTTCCGACTTGCCTCCTGGGACGTGAGTTACTAAAAATTAATTTACCTGCATTGTGACCTTCATTAACCACAGCTTCATACCTATTTCCATTCCAGGATTAAAAAAATTTCAGAAAGAAAGTGTTTACTGTGAGAGAAAAACCGATTTTGGTTATCAACGACAATGGGGCATTCCACGCAATCACCGGCATCTGTTCACATTACAATTTCCCGTTGGAGAATGGTAAGTGATTCATGTGCAACATATGATTAATTTTTGCTGTTACCCATAAAGTTAAAAAAACACGATTGCGGCTCGTGGCTAATGGTATTGGCCCAGGGTCGGGCGTTCCTATTTCATGTTCCACCGAAGGGAACGTACTTGTGGTTTATTGAGGACAGGTCACTTTTGGCATCTCCCTCCCTCTCCCAAATTACGAATATAATAAGTTTATCTTGAGGGAAGAAGTTGTGGTGTTTTCGAAACTCTAGCTAACGCGATTTCTGACACTGAGTTCAAAGGATTAAGCTCTCGCATATGCAGTTGTTGACGATGTGTATAATATGTAGATGGTCTTTTCCTTTTGTTCGAGCTCTTGATGCAGCCGCAAGATGGAGGGGCACCATTCGTAAAAAATTGTTCAAACCGTAGATTGATTGAAGCTTAAGTATAATTGTATCCTCTTGTGCTTGGCACTGGACCTCATTGGAAAACTACTACAGGCGTCTATTCAAATGGTAGAATCCGTTGTCCACTGCATGGGGCGTGCTTCAATGTGAAAACAGGTGATTTAGAGGATTATCCAGCATTCGACAGTCTCTTCGTGTACGACGTGAGGATTTCACAGTTCATACCACCTTCTTTGGAATTGTTGTAGAGGGGGAACAATACATAATTTTCAAAGACGGGGTAGAAACAGATTCGAGATTTTTCACTTTTATTCCGACTCCTCAGAAAGTCAGCTGTAACGTCTGAGGAAAAAATAAAAAGAAGCTGTTATGAAGCGACCAAGTCAAGATCTGAAGTCTAAGCTGAGTTCTGACCACGGAAGAGCTGGCATGTCGCTCAACCCACATTCCAGTTAAGAATCCCACCAAACAATGTGATTTAGTTCACAGTGTGTAGGTTCGACTTAAAAGTCCTAAAATTATTTTATAATCAACTCCATGTCAATAAAAACGACATAGAAATTCACAGCTACTCATCGAATAACTAATTTATCATGTGGATTTGAGAGCTATTTTGCCGAATTCGCTTTGGAATTGAGAAGTTTCCAAACTTTTGACGCGCCATTTCTTATAAAAATTCGTATTTTTCAAATGCGATTTCAGTTTTCAAAAAATCATGTTACCCATCGTAATCTACACTTGATTCTGTATATAATATGTGAATTCGGGACAATTTCATTGTCTATTGGCTACGCTAGATCAAAAATAAAAAAGTTTCCAAACTTTTGACCGCTACTGTATATTCAATATATTCATTACATAGAATGAGGTGAGGAAGCAGCGTGCAAGTTTTCCTGTCCTGGCTAACAAAGAAGAAATCGAGGCTAGTCCCAATTTTTGAGCGACTCTCTTCAATGTTCTTCCATCTAACGACATGAGCGCCCAAAAAATTTTGGAAAGCCATCAATCAGCGGAGCACGTGGCCGCGGTTTCGTAACAACCAGCATGGTAGAAGCAATCTTTTTCTGATACCACTATCACTCTAACCCCTCTTTTGAATCAAAAACACATGAGTCAAACTCTATAGAAATGGATAAATGATTCTGGTAGAATCCTGGCCCTATACCGATCACGCGAACACCGAAAGCACAGTCAGATGTGGAGAGGCCAGACAGCTCGAGGACATCCCCTAAATCCTGGTTGCGCCCGGGGTCAACTGCAGAGTCAACCCTGCGTTGCGCAGTTCTCAACGGCCACGTTGCGCAGTTTCGCCCGATTAGACACGTTCTCTCGCGCGAACATTCACACTCGCATGCTCGAGCCGTCTGTGTCTCCGCCCATACAGCGTGCGTTGAGGATCTCTCAACGTGCCGTTGCGAACTGCGCAACGCAGGGTTGACTCTGTCAACTGTCGTCCGCCACATTCGAACGAGGAGGTCGCAATCTCAAAAATCCATAGTCCGAAATCGCTGGCGGTAGCGTCATTGGTGGATGGATTAAGGGCTGGAGGAGCACTCCCGAAGAACATGAAGTTTTTATAATCTTAAAGTAATTATTCTTTCTAGTCTCGTTCTGAGGTGTTGTCCGTGTAAATCACAATATATCGTGAAAAATCTTTCTGTCTTTGGCAAAACTGTCAGGGAGAGCTCTCTTCGCCGCAATAGAGCGTGCTAGCAGTGCCAGAAATTTAGCATGTCCCGATCATAGCAAGAGAAAAGAGACTTCCAAAAAATACCTTTACAACTTTGAACCACAGCGCGTGCGTGCGTATCTTACGATTAGAGCATATCTTGTTTGTGCTATCATCTTATTACGCGCAGGGAGATATTTTCCAGCTGCTTAGGACCAAATAAAGATCAATGGAGTGCAGTGCTGGGAGAACTTTTTTCTAAAGCTGAAAATGAAAGATTTAGAGGAGTCAGGTTTTCACGGAAGTTTCTTCAAGAGACGTTCTTAGAAAGTGGGATTCTCGTAGCTTTCAAAAACGCCTTCGATCCTAAAACAAGTTGCTTGAAGGAATTATAATCGCTGAAAGCCCAAAACTCGAATTTAGTGCTCCAAAACCTAATAAGGAAAAGTGGAAACGTGGTGTTCTTTTTTACTAAAGCGAGCAAGTGAAGGAACGTTGGTTAAATGTGTTATAGAACGCAAATCCTGGAGTTTCTTGCCATGCTAAGGCTTTGCCACGGAAGTGAAAAACCAGTGATCTATGGCGATTAGAAGCTCAAAAACTCGCCTTTGCACGAAAAAATGCAAACGGGGGAATTTATAAGAAAGGAAACAGTCACTGAACTTTCATTATAGTCTGGATAGAAATTGAAGTTTCCAGAACTTCTTACCGCTACCCGAAAACTCGCATTTGGAAGACTTTAGGGCCTTCCAAATGCGAGTTTTCGGGTAGCGGTAAAATGGATGGAGGTGCGACTTGCTAGAAATTTGGATCTTACATGCTTTAGAAGCACCTTCCGGTTCGCGATGTGAGCTAGGTAGTTTTCTATAAGCAGATTTCAAGCACATTCCACATCTACATAAAAATTAGAAAAAGTATTATTCAAAGATTTTATATTCTCTTCAACTTTTTTTGCTTGCCGCGCGAATTCCTCTCACCGCCTGGACGATACCTGTCACAATCATAGGATAACGCCTCAACGCAGCCGCAGTTAACAGCTCGAAGTTTCCTTGCATATTCTATCTGGTTTTGAGCTTTGATTTTGATTCTTAACAAGATTCACTTCTAGACGCCGTTTTGATCATGAATGAGATGAGTAGCATCACCCGTGATTCTGTTAGATCCAAGATTTGCTTCATGATCGCGATTGCGGGCAATTTTATAGCAACGGGGGGGGGGCGCAAAAATTTCGAAAAATTGCGAACGTGACGGCTGACCCTGGTTGCACCACGCCGAAAGGATTTAATGTCACATATTCGGCCAGTTAGTTGGGGGGGGGGGTGACAGCGGTGATAATTATGGCGTGGAAACTACGTGTCTAGGCAAGTTTTTTTGAACGCGATAGCATCATCCTATGAGGTTACCATATCTATCTACCTAACGGCTATCTTATCCGCGGCGTGCAGTCCACGTTTGTGAGAGCGAGTGCGAGGTATACTCGTCCGCAAGTTCACGGTCGCCATTAGATCACTTTGTAAGGCCCTAGCACCATTGTAGCGCACTTTCGAGACGCAACAAGCGTCACATCTGTGATGCTTGTGGACCACCCTATCCCATCTCCTGGACTAATTTTCGACACGATCTTGTAGGGATTGTTGCCTCAACCAATGCTGAAAGTGTCTTTGTGAAACTTCTCACCACCTTTGTTTGAATAAAAATAAGGATAAAGCATTCGCCGTTGATACCCCTTTTTGAGATCCGGTACGCATTCTACTTCCATATGCACATTCGTAGTGGTTTAGTAATAAACAAGTAAGTAAGTACCAAGTAGTAAACCCCGGAAGGATGGAAGGCTTGGTTGGCCCGGGCGACTCACGACCCAGGATTTGATCCCCGGACCGCTCGCGTGGTAAGCGTGCCACTTGCCACTACACCACTTCCGCCGATTTGTCCAAATGGTTACAATAGTCACGCGCCATACTTATTTTTTGAACTTCTAAAAGATCAACAGCTCTTTATTAGTGTGTGGCTGCTTGTAGGTGGAAGAAAAAGACGGTGACCTCATACTGAATACTACTGAAAAGCAGTTGGAAAAGGCTCGAAGAACTCGAAAGTGTAGCTTCACAGCGACAAGCAAGGATGATCCCATCATAGTAGTTGGAGGAGGTATATAAAGTTCATAATTCCAAGAACTTCCATTACGTAGGAAAGTTGTTATTATTAGTAAAGAAAGTCCAAGATACCATATTCTCAAAACTGCATGAAATGTGTAGCAACATGAAAGCTGTAATAATACATACATTTTGGTCATGATTCAGAGCGCCTCCCCACACCTTGAAGTAATCGTATAGCAGCCGTAAGTAAATATCGATCGCGTTTTGTACTATAATAGAATACAATAATAATTTTGATTATGTGTGCTAAAAGCGAGTTAAACTTAGGTCGATCCTGGGGCATTTCTTTGAGTAGAATTGCTGGCAGCACTGGTTTATGGGTAACATGTAGAGGATAATCGGGGAACGGAGAACCAAGGAGAAGGAACAATAAGGGCAGATACCAGCCAACGAATCCAGCTCTTGAGCTTAGTTCATGCGCAGTAGGTGCCTCCCAGCCTGAAGCACTAAATGCCAATTTTTGCCGCTTTGCCCCTCCCCTTTGTGTTCTCTCTAATCTCTAGTGCAATCAAAATATGTATATCACAGGTATAAGTGCGGCTACTTTTATGGAACATGTAAGACTGAATGGTTGCCGCACTCCAATCACAATGATAACACAAGAAAATTGGCCACCATACGATCGCGTACTTCTTAGTAAGGTTTGTACATCTGAAGTATTTTATGCATTCCTCTGAAAGACTTACAACAGATATTTGATATGACTTTTTTATTGTTGACTCTGCTTCGCCGCAAGTTCGCCTTGCGAATGTTTCACAAGAATGCTGGTTGTAGAACAAAACTTTCGCCCCAGGCGGGACTAGAACCCGCACCGCTCGCTTTCCGGGTAGCTCAATCAAAAACAAGTCAAAATCAACTGCTAAAGCTTTCAGCCCTTGCGGTTCACTGCCGATATCGGCTAACCGGCTCAACACGTTATATACGTGTGAGTGCTGAAAGCTATGGTACGTATACCATGAAGAGCTGAGTTGGGATGAAATGGCCCGTAGAAACTGGTAGCGCACTTGCCCGGAAAGCGAGAGGTGCGGGTTCTAGTCCCGCCTGGAGCGAAAGTTTGTTCACAACCCAGCATTCTGTGAAGAATTGATATAGTTGAATGACTGGTCTTGAAACTTTGCGTCCATCTTCCTCAATATTACGAAAATCGTTTAATTTGCAACACGTGAACAACGCCAACTGGGAATCTCATATATGTAGGATCGGCGCCAGATTGTTGACCCATATTAAGTGTAGGGTATTTCGATTTTCCTTTTCTATGTTGTTGATAATAGTCAAGCGCAATTATTTGTTGTGTTTCACTACAACTGATCGAGAAAGTAGCGATAGCAGCCCAAATGTACTATTCAATCGAGAAATGAAGCGTTTGCTGTGGGGTGCAGCTTAACACGTCAACAACATGCGCGTTTTGACTTTTTTTGGCTTCACAATATCGGCCCAATTTTGCAGGCCTTCTCTCATCACTGCATGATCGTGGATTCTAGGCTGCGAATACTCAAAATATGCATGCGACAGAATGTTTCCATTGAAGCAACAGTCCCGGCAGGGTCCCTACCTCCGATATTATTATATTAGGTTGTTCAAAAAGTAATGCGGGTTTTTGACCTTCTTTTTTTTAAAGGGACGTACTTCCACTCATATTCAACACTTTTAGTCGTAACAAGAACCCATAGAAAGTGCTGATTTCTATTAATACGATGAACACTGAACACTTTCTTCACAGGCATCAACGCTTCTGGAAGCTATAGCATCAATTCGAACATTGAAGCATTTCTTACTTCAGAAGTTGTTGAGATAGTTGAGAAAGGGAATATTGGTGAGGGAGATGTCCAACGACTGCGATGTGTGGAGTGAAGCTTTACGCCAGTTTGTTCAAGTCCCTGCGAGGTCGTTTATGGGATGTGTGGTTGGCGCCTTCCATGGAGAAGATTTGGTTTGCTCCTCCCGGTTGACGATCTTAATATTTCCAGAGGACCTCATCGATATACTGGAGAGACGCCGGTGTTGCGTGAACTTCATCCGGTTTCTAAGAGTTAGATTGCAGCAGTTCCGTCGAAGACCGCGAATTTGCAAAAATTCAAGTTGAGCTGGACATTCGCGAAGACCACCGAATGTCCAGAACTGTGGCATTCTGAAATTTCGGCCTTGGAAGAGTCTTCAGATATCATGCTCTAGCGATCAGAGGGGCTTGGCTTGTCTAGTCGCAAAAGTCTTTATTTTCTGTTGTACCAGAGTTGACGAACGCTTCAGTTGATTGGTGTAGTTGTACCCCGGAAACGAGTGGAAATGAACTAGAAGAACACTGCTCATTGCCCCCGTCGAGTTCTGCGATAACCGAAGTGTAGCTTTTTTCACCTCTCCAGATTATCTTGAAAACCCACAGATGATTTTAAGTATACCTTTTTAGTGCTTCTGCTGTGCTTAGGCATACTACGCCGGACCATCTTCCACTAGGAAGACGTTTAGAGGCCGGTGTCAAACAGCCACGAGCTGCTTATACAATCCCGCTCACCTTCACTATGGAATTCTTCTAAATTAAAGTTTTGGAGTCAAGGCTGTGCTGCGCTTTTCATTGGTGCTTCCTTGGCCCCATCCTTCAGTGTTATTTCGACTGGTCTATGGAGCACTACTTCAGAGTTTCAGCACATCGAAGAAAACTTGCCCAAACCACTGTCTTGACACCTTCAGTTCAATCTATAAAAAACCCAAATAACAAGCCACTGAAATTCAAATATGCGAGGAAAGAAGATGGAATAAGCTTGCCAATGATATATAGGGCTTCAAGTAAGGAAATTTCAGTGCAAGATATTCCAAATATGAATGACATCGCAAAGCCGCATCACTTTCCGAACAACCTGATAGTTTTGTGGAAATGATGCGCTAGCTCAAGGTAAGAACAAATGAAGTGTCACTGAACAAAAAATCAACCTGGAAAGCCAATGGAATGAGAGTTGAACGCCTTCGAATCCGGCGTACTACCGTTCGACAGGCGTGGAGATTGCATGCTACTATGCCAGTCTTTGCGCGTTTGCGTGTAACTGTTCCGCATTTTAAAATTACTGATGTCTCTTTTTGGTCGTTTTCTGCTTGCTAATTCATTTAATTATCGCATTTCATTATTTGTTTAATGCATATGCGCTTGTACTGGTGTGTGTGCGATTGCGGCCACAGTTCCTGCTGGCTCTAGCCAGCAAGAAATGGCACTGATCAAGCTAGTTCGTAAGCTCGTCCGAGATGTCACTTCCGTCATCTCAAAGGAAAAGAGGGGGTGTCCCTGTTTAAAGACTTCATCGGCGGTTTTCTTTGTTTTTTTTTCATTGGCAGCCAAATTGTCATCTACAACTTCATTATCGACCGTTATTACCCCGCATACCCCGCGATCTGGAACTGTTGCTTCAATGTGCTCAACTTATAGAGAGTTACAGTAGTGGGAGTTCGACAAAATGCGTGTCATGGCTACTAGAAGACCATCGTTACGTTTGCTTTCGTGGTTCAAAATTCCTTTGAACGTGGTTGCTCCAATAAAAACATATATTTTGCTAGGTTTTTGTTCACTTCTATTACACTTCTTCATCTATATTCACGTTAAATGAAAGAAAATGAGGAATGAACTGAAAAGATATTTTTGTAAGGTCTGGAAAACTCTGCCAAACAAAGAATATTTGGCCATTCTGTAAGCCACGTAGTTCTTGATTATGTTGATGCATGGCCTATAGAATGAACACAAAAATATGGCAATCTGCATGCGCAAAAAAAATGTTATGGTTTATGCACATATGTAGTTGCCACAAAGTCCGATGTCGTGCAAGAATGGCGGCATACATATTAGCCCCGATCTCGTCAATGTGTTGAAAAAACTGGCTCCTGTGCTTGACTTCAGAGCAGTAGGTGCCTTAAGGTGGGCAGTAGAATTTTAGGAATTTTTTCCAGAAGCCTTCTGCTGAAGGGAAGGATATACGACTTCGAAGTGACGCCTATTACAGAGAGAACCATATAAACATTATAACAAAGACCAAGGTGAAACTTTTTCGCTTGGAGCTCTAATTTTCATTTAATAATATTTGGTTGTGTAATAACCGAAAGAAGAAGGAAAATCGAATCTATAGACTCTTGGCATTAATGTAGTGCGTGACCAATTTCGAATTTTCATACATTATCCACGCTTCCCTCCCTTCGTCTCTCCGATCCCTACCTGTGTCAAATGTCGTCTGGCTAAGTAAGGTGGGAGCGGCAGCTCGTTTGTTGGCCAGACGGATGGTTCATGAAAAGTGTCGCTTCTTTTCGAATCGGCCACAAGGGCGGTTGCCACGGATTGGATGATTGAAATAGTACCACATCATCAGTCCCCCCGCAAACGATCAAGCTTCGATTATCCTAGTGAGGGTCAAGGCGTGGTTGGCCTGTGCAGGTAACCAAATGCGTATCTGGTAAGCAACAAATTTGATTACTGCACGCCACACCCTTCCCCTTTCTAGAATAATAAAATTTCCCAAATTACCGAGAGCTGGATGCTATTCTCTCAGCTCTCCCATGCGCTCGGGTAACACGACCTAATCTCTTCAAAGTGTCACCATCAGGGAGACAGAAACGATGTCAGTACCTATTATTTTACCAGTTTTGCTCCGCCCGCTATCGCGCGCATCACACGGCAGGCTTTAGCGAAACTGGAGGACCCATGGAATATCAGCATGAGGTACTCCATTAACCACCTCACTATTGAATGTGTTAGACCTTTCCCAGTTTCGCTGAAGTCCATCGAGAATACGCGTGATAACGTCTGGAGCTGAACTGGTATATTTATCACAACTGTAAACATCCAGCATTCTTCTTGAATTCAGATAATTTAGCGGTGAATAGGATTGCTGTCAGTCTCAAAATGAAAATGAAATATGCCTATTTACATAAGTGAGCTAAGGCTTATCATTTATTTACATTCACCATTATTTAGAACCCCGAAAGGATTAGCGGTTTAATGAGTTTGGGCTTTCTTGATAGAAATGAAA